CAGGTTTCCCAACCCCCCCCCCCCCCCCCGTTCTACTCCCCCCCTAATTAGGGCAACATAGGGAAACGGTACTCGACACACTTGTGCGTCGGTGCCTTTCCCTGTGTTGTTCCTGTTCTAGTCTTCTCTACCCGGGCGGTCTAAGACTAAAGTCCCGCTCCCTAACTACTGCACTTAACTATTTTCGGCTAAGTAATCAGTAACTCTAGAGTGCTAGGTAGTCAGACACACACACATGTACACACACATGAACATACATCCCGTCCCTGCCCCCCCACTTTCTTCTTGCGCTTTCCGTCGTTTGTTGGGCTTTCTCTCAGGCTTTTTAGGTTGCTCTTCAGGCTCGTTTCCCTACCCCAGTCAAGGGCTAAGTATTCACTTTTTTCTGCACCTATCTGTCTTTCTTGCCCTCTTAGCGCTGCTCTTTCTGTCTTTCCTTTCTTTTGTTTCTAAGGCTTTTTAGGTGACTATCTTACGTTTTATGCCAGAGAGCCGCAAAGCGGCGGAGTGTGTATATCACACTCTATACCTAAGCGTTTTCCTTGTTTGATTCCAGCAGGGGCGCCGATCACGGCGAACTGTGTGTGTCAACCCCTGTGCCTAAGGGTTTGGATTCACCTCAAACCAATTTCCAGCAGGGGGCATGGCAGCTGTTTCCCTAGCCATGCCAACGAAGCTATGGGATTCAGCCGGAAGGGAATGTGGACGCACATTCCTGTACCTGCAACGTGAACTGTTTTCAAGCTGTGACGCCACTCTCCACGTTATGGTTCATGGTCCTTCACGTTTCCACCCCCAAACTTTGGTTTTGCAGCTGAGTTGCGCCGCTCGTTCACCACCGCTGAGCTCTGCAGTCACGCACAAACAGCTTGTTCAACTTTTCAAGTGAACCGACTTTCTCACCATGCCGTCACCATTTTCGACCTGGGAATTGAGTGTAACTGAATACAATTGTCAGAGTGTGGGTGTGACACCCCACCCAGCTTCTAATCCCCCAGAGATCCGAATATGTGGCGTGGTGCACCAGCCGTTCCCTCACGCCTTTTCATTCCAAGGACAATAATGTGATTTTCCGGCAGAACTCGTCCTTCAACCACCAGTCACCATTGGTCATGAGAGCAACACCTTCAAGAGACATTTGCCCTGGTTGGAAGATGTTGGAAGAAAATACCCTTCGTTGGAAAAACGCCTCCAGTTGGGCCAAACTCAGGAGTTGGGCCAAACTTGGCAGAGTTTGGTCGAGCTCCTCGAGCCGCGCCCTGTTAGCGCCATGCAGAGCACGCCGCGTGCAGAGAGCGGCGTTCCGCCGCGGTTTCCGGAGCTGCGGTCCCGACGCGGCCCCTTGCAGGGTTTGACGCCCAGGCGCAGGTATTGAGATACGCCTCCAAGCTCCTATGAGTAGAAATGGGAAGTGGAAGTTGATCGGTGTCAGCAGATCTGATCTGCCGTGGATTTTGAGGTGTTTACTTTTCTGAAGCATCTTAAACAAAAGTACATGCCGTGAGGACGCTTTGAAAAATTTTGAGGGAATGAAGCTGTATATACTTTTCGCTGTGCTACACACAGCCCAACAGACTCGAGCTCTTGCTGGGTGGGTGATGGAATGCTTGACTCCCACCATGCCTCCCAAGCAAGAGCCTGTGTTCACTGCACCTTGTGGAGTGTCCCATGGTGCAATTTTCCCTGAGCTGTCTGCCAAAAGGCAGGATTGCTAGCTCAATACTTGGATTAGAGCGTAGCTGGGTGGTTTCAAAGCTGCTTCTATCAAGTAACTTTATGAAAATCAGGTATCATGACTTTTTCTAATTTTTCCCGCTGGAGCGGGTATGTGAGATGAGGTATGCGTTGGCTGCGGGACCCATGGGGAAACTTGCAGATGTTAGACATCCATGTCCAAGAACGAGAGGCCCGACTCGAAAGGTCCATCACTAAAGAATTGGTTCGCCTCCTACAGGAGTATGGGCCAGAGGTTTTGAACCTAAATTTAAATGCCTAATTACATCTCCTTGGACCCCTGGAAACAGCTTGTAAGTTCCAGGTACAATCGCGGTTGGAGCAGAACGCATGTGTTGTTTTTTTCAGTCTCCTACCATTGTGTCAAGCTTGGAAGATCTTTCAGCGCTGTCTCGCGAAGCCACCCAAAAACGAAGAAGAACAGATGGATCCAAGAGCTGCTGGCCGTATCTCTTAGACTCGTAGGTCTTAGGTCATGTATTTGAACTCAGGAGGGTCTATGTCCTTTTCTCAAACTGCATGCCCCTGAGGGCTGGAGGTTTACCAAGGGCTCCGATTGCCACTATGGGTGACCTGAATGTGGCATGGTGGGACCTGTAATTCTTGGGGGTCTCTAACAACTGAGCTGCCGAGATTGGTGGTCAAGTTGATTGGGTAGTGAGGTACATAGTGGTGTGTTTGTTCCTAAAAGCAACCAATGAGCAATGTGTCCAAAAACTGTGAGCAAGAGTTTGGTTCGTTTCAACTCGTGGCAAGACGCCGCGCACTTGGATCAACTGCCAGCCTGCCGTTAGCTTATATACTTTTTGAAAGAAGGAGAGGTCGCCCGGGCCTCTTTCAGGCAATCTGAGTAGTGTCCGGCGATGCATCACTTGCAGCGAGGCCGTAGTTTGGAGCGGTTACTCAAGTGAACTGACACCTGGAATCATCAAGTTCTCTTCGTACAGTTCCCCCTCCTGGCTTGCAGGCCCAGACCACCAAATGCGGTGGTAGAGGACCCTAGGCTTCACATTGGTTCTCAAAGTACCTTCAAACATGTTGCTTTTATGAAACCGAAAAGGCAAGAACTAGATTTCCTGGGTGGAAACAAGAGTCACAGCTCTTTTGCGATGGACTATTGAACCATATTGAAGTCGTTTTGGGCTGAGGTTACTTTATTGATATTGTTGTCACTGTGTAAAAGCAAAAAATGAAGCAGTGCTTTTTTTGAGAGGGGCAGGGTCGGGGTTCTGGAAACATCTGGAAATCTTGCTCCTCCCAACACTTCTAGCTCTCCAAACCAAATTCCCTTGAAATCAAAGGGACATCAAAAGGAGTTCACAGATGTTCACAGGAAATCCTTTTGATAAACCTCAAAATCACTAGTTGTTTAGGATTTGATTTGACTCCCCAATATTTGGATTCTGGCAGTTCATCTCTTTGGAATTTCCCCGGATGTTCGGATCAATTGAGATATTTGGGGGTTGAGATGTCCTTTCCTTGGGACTGGGGTGCCTTCCTCAGCAAATTCGTTCCTGAGTTTTCACACGTTTAAATGCAACCCGGTGTTTGTTTGTGTTTTATTGCTTCTTTTGCTGGTTTCGTCAACGGATGCACTCACATATTCTCAGATACCAAGAGTTCACTCAAATGTTCTGAAAGTTTGATTGCAATCTCAGCAGTGAAATGAGAGCATTTTGTCCATTTGGTTGCTTCTTTTCCCATAAATACGTCTCAGTAACCACTGTAGGGTTGGATAGGTTGAGTCATTGGTGCTGGTGCGCTGTTTTCACGTGCTGTTTCCTTTCGGCGAACAAGAGTATCGTTTTTGGCCAAAGGACACCAGGGCAGCTCGCACCTAAAAGCTTAGATACAATTTCATTGCGTGCTATTGCCGCTGCCTGAATGACGTGTTGGGTTGATCAAAGCCTTTCGAAGTCCATAGCAAAGCGCTTCCTAAATTGATCTATATAATTTCTATATAAAAGGGCATCGCTACTAGTAGCAAGGACGCTGCTAGGGGCTCCTGGCATCGCTACTAGGAGCAAGGACGCTTGCGAGCTGCTTTTGTGTGATGCATCGAGCCGAATCGCTGAGAAGCGGTATCTTTGCGGCTTGCGACACAGCCTCAGTGTTTATCTCTCCGAACGGTCGGCCCCGCATCCCACTATAGTTGGTAAATGATTCTCAGATAGTCTCAGATTTGCATAGAGAATCATGTATGTGTGCGTATCTTATGTTGACTCGTGTTTACAGGGTTGGATTGTGGGAGCCAAGATCATTCTCACCCCCCAGGGTCAGTGCTGTTTATGTTGATGCTTATCGCGACGATGCGATGATTTGATTCGACATCGCGATGTCAGCGGCGGATCTCGCTTTTTGGCTGGTAGCGTCGCATCAGCAGGGTGTAGGGGCGGGCCTGCATTGCGGCTCCATGCAACTTAGGGCAGCATCGGGTGTTGAGCCTTTATGTTTGGCACACTGCGGGCTAGACAGGTATCCAGCTGCCAGGACGCAGGTCATCCCCCTATCATTGGACAGGCACTGCAGTGATGTTTTGGTCATTTCGCTTGCGCGGGTTTTGGACAATGTGCTTGCAGGCAGAGTTCCTGCAACTGTGCGGATCAAAATGTGCCAATTAGAGTTTGATATGGGTGGGCCAACTTGGCAGCTTGACCCCCAGCAAAAGTTTGCCCCGCCAGTAAAACTACACAACCAACATATTGGTGTGCACTTCCTCATGTTGAGTCAAATAAGTTTAGTACGTAGTTACATAGACTCGCCTTGTATTTGTTCGAGAAATGAATGGCAGACTCTTTGGAGCACAGCGTGAATACATTGTATCTATGGTCTTTGAGTTTTCCGCCTTGATGGGTATCTGAGTCAACATATGAGGCAGCTCATAGTATGCACTTATCAACGTATATACACACATATTGTAGGTTCCGGCAGCTAGGCCTTGCAAAAAGCATCAAAAACAAACAAGTACCCTGTCAACAATGCTTCAAGGAATTCTAAACAGATCAAACATAATCCATGTCAAGGAGATTCGTTGAAAAGCGGCAAATGTCACCGTCCATGTTCATTATCGTAGAAAGTGCTATTTCTGACACCAACTCTTAGTTTTTGAAATGTATATGGGAAAAAGACAGAAACAGTGAGTTTGCTACCATGTATTATGTCCAGCCAAAGTCGCACCTGGCAAAGATCCCATGCCGATCCAGTACTGCCGCTCGGTTGGTGTATCAGCTCGTGTCGAGTGCCCAACGAGTGTTGGTCATTGCCAGGTGCAAGCCGTTGAGAGCGGCTACTGGCCGCTGTATCGCTACAACCCCGACAAGGCACGTAGTTGCCACTACAGTCCGTATGGGTGGGCTACACTTACTTCGTGCTGCGTGCTACACGTACTACTTCACTTGTTGGTATTATTAGGCTTACTATTTGTGCTAGAAGTACCAGTCACTACCACTACAACTGCTACTACATTGACTGGTGTTTCTACTAATCTTAGCTGTTATTGCTGCTGGGAATACGACTACTGCGACGGCTGCTGCTGCTACACTGCTACTGCTACTATCTTTCTACAAACATGACAACCACTACTGTATGCAACACAGTACTTCTAGCATCAAGAGGCATGGGTCAACCCCACACCAATCGACTAAGGGATTATCTAAGGTTTAGGGTTTGCACTCTTAATTGCATGGAATTGCTGAAACCTTGATTGTTGGACCAAATTGAACTGTACATGTCTAGAGTCTGTCTAGAGTGAACGCGTCGTAATGTTACAACATCTTCGTCAGTTGAAACGCCAAGGTCCCTTTTGTATCCTTTGGTGTGCATATTTACAAGGAATTTACTGATCTCTTAAAGCGCATCAGGCAAACAATGAGTCCTGCGCATACTTCTGCTAGTAACTAGTAGAAGTACTCTTGCTGGGAAAGCAAGAAAGCCTGCGATACTCGAGATTCGAAATGCCAGTCTAGCTTCAAATATTGGCTCTTTGTGCACCCAAAGTCATTGTTTGTGACCTCCATGTGTTGGAGATACGGAGATGAGGGAATCGACTGCGGACATCCCAGAAGCTGGTTTAGGTCATGGACACACACAGCGGCTTGGTCACCAGGTCACTACTGAACACAACGGCTTCGAGTTGGACAACAAGCGGATCAGCCCAGATGCCATGGATGCGCTCATGCGGAATGAGCCACTTGATGTCAGACCAATGGGGATTGGCCTCACTCATGTGATTTGTGTAGATCCTAGTTGCGAAGGGGGGTTGCAGTAATGGTATTGCAGCATTGCATCATTTCCTCTAGACGCTCTAAAGGCTTCATACAATTTGTTTGATGATTTGATGATCGAGTTGCAGTCAAATCAAGCGGGATGCATGAGCGTTTCAAGCATCACTGGAAGCCAGAACCAGCACGAAAGACAGCCCAGCCCAATGTTGCTTTTGTTGCTTGCAGGAACATCAGATCCGAGTATTGTAGGGTTGATGGAGGATGTCCAACAGCGAGTGATTCCCAATGCATCCCTGGAAAGCAACACTTCAAATTACACCTACCACAACCAGCATCTCGGGATGTATTTTTGTTGCACCCCTCAAACTGCCTGGTATTGGTTTTCGGCAGTTTCAATTGGAATGGAACAATCTTGCTGCAGCATGTCTTAAATGTCTTAATCGTTCGGATTGGAAACTGTACAATGTTTCGGATTGTTCAGGTTGATGTGCACGTAGTGCATTAGTGCATTCTGCATGCTCTTTCAAGAAAGTGGAGTCCATTTAAAGTATCTCTAGACAACGCTTTGTGTCCCTCCCCCCACACTCAAGGTCAATTCGCATTTACTGCCATGCCCTGACCGGTTTGACTTCGCTTGACACCTCGCTGACTCCCACTTTGAGAGGGCCCTGCTAGTTGCGTCCAGTGCCACTAATCCCCAGCAGCAACCCTGTTTTGTCAATTTTCTTCAATTTCAATCTCTTGGACCTTGGATGACAACCTTGCGAAGGAAGAAGAGATTGTCAAGATTATGACAATGTTACCTCGTGTGATGACGTTTTTGGAACCAATGATGTGAACGTAATGCTGTGGAGTTGATGACAAGGAAGAAGTGAAGTGGATGCAACAACAAACGCAACCATGTCCGCAAGTGCATCGAAGTGGTCTGGTTTTCAGTCCGCAAGTTTATCCATGGATGTGGAAAATAGACCCTTCGGTATTGTGTTCACATTCCATATTAAGTCTATGTAAGGTTGACAGTTTGAGCAAACAGACACGTCGGTGCTGCGGGTTTGGCAGGAATCGCTTCACTTCCTTGCAGCGGACGGCGCCTGAGTTCGCGAAGATGCTGCAGAGCGCCATGAAAGATGAGCGTCTTGGAGGATTCATTTGAAACTCAAAAAATAGAGGTGTCTTTCCATTTTCGGGGAAAAGGTTTCGTTGTTTTGATCGTCAAACATGGCTGTGATACTAGTTCCAGGGGTACTAGATGAACCACGCATGTAAGGGCCTCCTTCCTTTCGCCCAGTGAATCCCAGTTCAAACTGAGCAACTGGGCTTTCTTGTGGTAAACCAAGCTTAGAGCTTCATTGGGTTCCTGGTTTCCTGCGAACTGTTGAGGCTGCCTTTCAGGTTCAGCTAGTAGACATAGGAAAAGCAGTGTGATGATTGAACCGGGTGTTTTTGTGTAGGGTGGGAGGGCAATGCCAAATATATACCACAATCCAGTGGACACAGTTGTCATGGCCGGCTAATTATACAAAAACTCTAATGCTGGAATCCCTCAGTGTTGTAAAGCATTGGTTGGATGTTTATCTATATAATTCTATATATATACACAGGTCTAGACATATTGCATACATATTGCATATTATTATAAGTATTGTTCAAGGCCGATCGGCTCCTCTCCCTTGCAGCAAATGGGACTGGTGAGTGGATTGTGCCTCTCATATAGGGTGGTTCCAGTGGGACAGACGTGCTACATAGTAATGCAAGATCTGGGGGAATGTGGATTGACTTTAACCAGGTGCTTTGGTTTGGGTGCGATGCCCGGCACTTAGAGGTTTCTTAAGGCACTACACATGGTATTGGATGATTTGTTTAATGTATTTTTCTTACTGTTCTTTATGCTCTCTGCCTGAATGTCACACAATTGGATTGAGCATACAAACTGACTGCATAGATCACCTGGCTTAGCAAGTGATATCCGTTTGCACTACGTGAGCCTGACAGGAAGGAAACAGGTTGGCTGCATTGTCATACATAAGGTCGTGTGCCAGATAACTTAGTTCATGGTGCATTTTCATCGAACAATCTGACACGTCTGGAGGGGTCATGAAAGCGTGTTACCACCACCAGGCCCTGAAAATGGGGCCCTCCTGCAAAGTTTGCAGCGGTTGACGCGCGTATCAGGCACGCAGCGCATGAGGTTCCACGCGAGACACGAGGCACGGAGACGCAAAGCCATGGCTGATGAGGATCTCTTGGAATATTTGAAGAAGTGCATGGGTGAACAGGCCGGGCCTCGCGGTTCGGTGATTGCTATTTCTTTTTGGCTGGGGTCCTTGACTCTGAGTAGCTTAGTTAGATTCTATGAAGACAACGATCAGAAGATGTGATTTCATCACCCTCAATCCAAACAGGTGACTTGGGTCGGTGAGGGTGAATCCATTCATGGGTCTGACACGTCTGGACCGCTGGGGCTTGAATGATTTGCAAAACATGTAAATTGGAATGCATTCAGGCTTGAAGTTCGGCAATGACCAAAGAATGAAGTGTAATGTTAACCTTTGATTAATAAAGATCCCCACAATAATGACTTTTTTTTTCCTGCACTGATTAATAAAGGCCCCCAGAATAATGTCTTTTTTTTTTGGAGGGATAGTTTTTTTGGTGATTTTTTCATTGTTATATATTGTTATTTTTACTCTCTGGCTTATTGATTTTTTAGATCTTTGGATGCAGATTTCCAGTGGCAGCAAAAGATTTTTTGGGATTTTGAAGGTCTTTGGATGCAGATTTCCTTTAGGAATTGGAGAT